TCTAATAATTTTACAAGGACAAATGGTCCGCGACCAAATAATTATTCGCAACCAAATAACATTAATAGACCGGTTATAAAATGCTATCATTGTAATGGTAATCATTATGCATCGCAATGTAGAAATAACGTAAGACAAAATAATACAAATAATCGTAATAACAACCATCCACCTAATGGAAATAATTTTACTAGGCCACCCACAAATTATAATTATTCGCAAGCAATAATGTGCACATATTGTAATAAGATAGGTCATAATATACATAATTTCTATAAAAAACGTAACGATGAAAGTAGAAATGGTAATTCGGGAAACGCGAACGTATCGAACGAGGAACGCGGTACCCGTTCGATAAACCAGATAATCGCAGAGGAGATGAACGATGTTTCCACATCGACGCAGTAATAAATAATAACCATATAACATGTAAATCAGCCGCTAGTAAAACAAATGAATTAAGCTTACTAATAGATACGGGTAGCCAAGTTAATATACTCAAAATAAATTGTTTACGCGGAGAACTAAAAGTAAATGAAACACAGAAAATTAAATTACGTGGTATACATAAGGAACCCATTCAAACAATAGGAAAAATAAAAATACCCATAGAATTAAATAATAATATTATAGATACAGAATTTAACATAGTAGGAACACAATTCCCTATACCAAGAGATGGCATATTAGGTCACGAGTTTCTATTAAAAAACAAAGCGATAGTAGACATTTCGAATAACAAAATAATAATTAAAAACGCAGAAACGTTTTTACACACCCCTACTCACGTAGAAACCAGTTCTATAAATCTTTCATTACACCCACGATCTGAAACAGTAGTACAAATAAAAGTGCTAGACCCAGTAGTCGAAGGTAAAAACATATACATTCATAAACAAGAAATTACGGAGAACGTGTTTTGTAGTAATACAGTATCTACTGTTAATCACGGAAGAGCAATAGTTAGCATGTTAAATATATCTGAGGAAACAAAAAATGTAAACGAAAAAGAGTTGAATAAAATATTATATGATAGTGAATACGAAATACTCAAGGTCGAAACAATTAATAACACTACTGATCGAATGACGAGATTAAAGCAGGTACTAAAAACCGACCACATGAAAAATGAAGAGAGGCGTTCTATCTATGATCTATGTGAAAAATATAATAGTGTGTTTCTTATTGAGGGAGATGTGTTAACCTTTACTAATGCGGGCACACACAAAATAAAACTTAAACAAGACCAGCCTTCTATATATCGTAGACCATACAGGGGCTTCCACACTCACAGCAGGAAGAAATACACACACAAATTAAAAAGTT